CCCGGGTTGCAGGCTCAATCCCCAGTGTGGGGTGTATGGGAAGCAACTTATCAATGATTCTCTCTCATCGTTGATGTTTCTCTCTCTTGCTCTCTCCCTCTCCCTTCCTCTCTGAAATCAATAAAAATTTATTAAAAACAACAGCAACACAGGGACAGCTATGCGGAGGGCTTCCCCGGGGAGGGTGTTCAGATAGCAGTGGGAAGAGCTGTTAAGTTCTGTGCAGGATGTAAGGTGACAGGGCACCGCTCATTACTGTGGGGTCACCAGCCCCTTGGCCCAGCCCCTTTGAAGGAAAGCACTCAGACGCAGAAAGGGGAGGATGGGGAGGGGGGTGGCTTTGCAGCCAAGAACCTGACTGGCTCTCATCTTGGCTGTCCTGTGGGCTTTGCATGGCCTTGGAAGGAACATTAAATAGAACCTTCAAAGTACAACTCGCCCTTCCTTGATCACTGCAGGTGCCTGGTGAGTACCCCAGGGTCTACAGACCCAGGAACGTATTAGCATTCAAATATGTGCGAGCTTATGACTATACTTGTGGCCCGGTGCACGGATTCGTGCACATGGAAAGGAAATAAATTAGAAGATTCGTGCAGTAACTAAGTTACTGCAAAAAATTACATGTCAAATAGTATATATAATATGGTATTATAAAATTAAAATACAAAATATTTTAATATGTATTGCGCATGCACGAATCATTTATTTTTAAATTGCCAGTGTGCTTCATATGTACCGGTTGGCTGGTCGACTGGACATACAGTTGGTCACTTAGCCTTTTATATATATTGATATGACCTTATGACCTTAAAGGCACTAAGGACTGATGGAAGTGCTCCAGCAAATCATGCACTTTGATCTTTGCATTTATTGCCTCATGCTGGACCACTCACCTGAAATGAGCTCCCTTCTTTTTTCCCCTTACTAACCAACTCTTATGCATCCTTCAAAACCTCAACACAAGAACCCACCCTTCATGAGGTCTTGAGTCCCTTCCCATCCCATTGTTTTTGGGAACTCGGCTCCTATACCTCCCATGGCACTTGTCCCCTCCAAATACAGTTTATAGATTGGCCTTACGGCAGCCTTACATTAGCTTCTGGATTTGGCAGGCTGGCTGCCTCAGCTTGACGCACAGGGTCCTCATGGCCCACTCGCTCAGGATGCTGCCCGCGAGGTCCAGCTGTTGCAGGCTGGGGTGGGTGCTGAGCACGGAGCAGAGGTTCTCCCACCACTCGATGACCAGGGGCTTGGTCTGCAGCCTGCATGCGAGAAGAAGGAAATGTTGGCTTCCACAGGATGAATTTAAATTATATATATATATTTAATTGATTTCTGAGAGCAACGGAGAGGGAGAGAGAAAGAAACATCAATGGTGAGAGAGAATCATTGATCGGCTGCCTCCTGCATGCCCCCCATTGGGGATTGAACCCGTAATCTGGGCATGTGCCCTTGACTGGAATGGAACCTGGGACCCTTCAGTCTGCAGGCTGATGCTCTATCTACTGAGCCAAACTGGGTAGGGCCTACGGGATAGATTTTAACACGAGCAACAGCCACTCCCATGTCAGAGAAGAGAGACCAGTCTACAGGATGAGACAGGGATGGGTGCAGGGGCTCAGAGGACACATTAGAGACATCTGTGCCTTGCATGGGCACACTCCTGGCCACCCTGCATTCTGAGTACTTGGTACCCAGGGGTGCAGTAGGATGGTTTGGAGCCAGCGGCTCTCGAGTCAGATTGTGCTTCGATGCCAGCTCCCCTTTGCATGTGAAATGGTGCAGCCTCTATGCAGAACAGCAGGGAGGCTCCTACAAAATTAAAAATAAAACTACTTTACGACCCAATAATCCCATGTATGCAAAAGAATTGACAGTCAGGCCTGGCCAGCGTGGCCCAGTGGTTGAGCATCGACCAATGAGCCAGGAGGTCACGGTTCCATTCCCAGTCAGGGCACATGCCCGGGCTGCGGGCTCCATCCCCAGTATGGGGTGTGCAGGAGGCAGCTGATCGATGATTCTCATCACTGACTTTCTATCTCTCTCCCCCTCGCCCTTCCTCTTTCTGAAATCAATAAAAACATATTTTACAAAACAAACAAAAAAAGAATTGATAGTCAGGACCCTGTGAGATATTTTCATTATATTATCCACAACAGCTAAAATATGCAGAGTATTCCACCCAAAATGTATACATACTCTCACTCGCATGCAGAATGTAAAACAGTGGGACTCACACAGGCAGAGCGAGCGTCCGCAGTGGTTGCCAGTGATGGGGGAGGGGTAGGGAGGAATGGGAGCTGAGAGCTCAATTTTGAAAAAGAAATGTCTTAACAAACACGGCCTTTGTAAGTATATAAAGTGTGTGTCTACATTTTGGGGGGACATCCTATAGAAACAACCCAGATGTCTGTGGATGGATGAAGAAAATGTCACCCGTCCCCCCAATAGAATATTACCCAGCCTTATAAAAGGAGGTGCTTCCATTGGCAACAACATAGGTAAACCTAGAGGACATGATGCTGAGTGGGACCAACCAGACACGGAAAGACACGCATGACCTCGCATGCAGAATGTAAAACAGTGGGACTCACACAGGCAGAGCGAGCGTCCGCAGTGGTTGCCAGTGATGGGGGAGGGGTAGGGAGGAATGGGGGCACGTTGGCCAAAGGGCACAGAGTCTCAGTTACATATAACGTACAGCTACGGTGTTTTGCACTGGAAATTGGCTAGGACCGTAGGTCTTAACACATTGCGGACCAGGAGTTTTATTGCTAGCGTTACCCAGTGGCCAGATAAGTTTCCATTGGACGAGTACAAAAAGCGTTTCACATAAATGTTAAAGGCACGCTTTAAAATTAAATGCCCGTTGCATTTTGAAGTTATTTATTCCATGTTCTCACAAGCTAATATCTTTTTAAAGTATGGTACTCTGTAAATCGGTGTCATATGAAGCGAGAATTCTCGTGATCCGTCCGCAATGTGTTAAATGCCTTCTGCTCCAAGGTAGCTGTGTGAGGGATGGCTATGCTAATTAGCACGATTGTGGCAATGATCATCTCAAAACACCAACACCTCCACGTGGAGATGGAAAGAATGAAAATTGCGGTGGGGGGGACGCACTCACCCTTGTGGAACGACGGGCCACGCCTCGGTGGCCTCATCTTCGGGGAAGATCTCCCTGACGTCCATCTGAATTTCCCGAAGGTGCTGGCAGTGCTGGAGGCAGAAGGAGGACACGTTCAGGTCCATGGGCCGGTTCATTGTCAGCCTCACTTCCCGGAAGCCGCTCAACGCCACACGGACAAACTCTTCGTCTTGGGTCTCGAAGAGACAGTAGAAGGAGTCCAGGAAGTCCAGCGGGGAGGCAGTGGTGGCCTGCTGACCCAACAGGGAGACCCACTGGAGCAGCACTCGCCTCACCACCAGGGCCACGGGACACCCCAGCAGGTCCTCCAGGGCCCGCACCACCTCTTTGTTCATGAAGCCAAACAAGAAACGTTTCATCTGCAGCACGTGGACGTTGAAGCTGACCTGCTTGAGCTCCTTCAGGCTCTTGGAATTCTCAATGCACAGAGCGTGGGGCTCCCACTCGGCTTCCAGGCCTTCCAGGACGTAGTACAGGGCCGCGTAGAACTCCTGCAGGCTCGGGTGCAGGAACGTGAAGCACCGCTCCCCCTGGCTGTCCCGCAGGAGGATGTACTTGTGAAACAGCACGGAGAGCTCCGGCTCCGTCAGCCCGTGAATGCCCAAGTCATCGCTGTAGAACACGAACTTCCTGGCCCACACGCCCTGCGCGGCCATCCGGCACAGGCCCTTCAGCACCACTCGTTCGTCTGGACTGAGGCAGCGTCCCGGGCCATCTCGAGGGGCGAGCTGATGGGCCACGAAGGTGGCGTACAAGCTGGTGAGGACCTGGCAGGTAGGGGGCAGGCCCTTCCCCGAGGCTGTCTGCAGCTCAAGAGCCCGGCAGAGCAGCCACCACGTGACGGACACCTGGCACCTGTCAATCAGCACGTGGTTGTCCAGCACCGCATGCAGGACCTGGGTTTTCTGGTCCTCGTTCTTGACGTGCTTGAGGAACACCTGGATCCTTTTCTCCATCGCGATTCCTTCAATGAAGAGGTAGCGGGGAGAGACGAGCATCGAGCAGAGCTTTTCTAGGCTCTCGTCTCTGACGGTGACGATCAGAGAGGACTCGGGCAGCAGGGCCTTCTTCAGCAGACTGCACATCAGGTCGGACACGGGCCGCTTCTCTGTCCAGTTGTCACAGACGTTCAGGTCAGCATTTTCGGAGGCAACGTCCAGGTCGTCAAAACCGTCGACCACAAACAAGAGCCTGTCTGGTTGGGACATGATGTTTGCCATAGGGACTTCAGGGTCTGGCCACTCCCTGGAAATTAACTCCGTGAAACTGCTTCTCCTCCTCCATGGTATGTCTCGGGCATCGAGGAAGAAGACGTAGGAGAACACACCCGGGTAAAGCTCCCCACGGGCCCAGTGCAGCAGGATTCTCCTGGCCAGAGCTGACTTCCCGACCCCCGGTCTTCCGTGCAGGACCACGGTGAGTGGCCGGAAGCCCTGCTGGTCTGGAGCGAAAGCACCAGACAACATTTGCATTTGTGAACAATCAGCGGCAAAGGTTTTGAAACTGTGGTGTACACCCGACACTGTGGCGAACCTTTTCTTCACATGATGTTTGTAGTTCTCTTTGTCACCTCCTTGGCCTACATCAGACCGGAGAGGGCAGAAGAGAAACAGGAGACAAAGTTGGAAGACAGTCTGGATTTCAGACACTCTACACACAGGAGACTTTGTTGCTTCTCAGCAATGTATTATTGTGATTATTATTATTCCTCACTTGAGGATATATTTAAAAAATATAGATTTCAGAGAGGAAGGGAGATGGAGAGAGAGATAGAAACATCAGTGATGAGAGAGAATCATTTATTGGCTGCCTCCTGCACGCTCCCTACTGGGGATTAAGCCTGTAACCCAGGCATGTACCCTGGCCAGGAATTGAATCCTTACTTCCTGGTTCATAGGTTGATGTTCAACCACTGAGCCATGCTGGTCAGGTACAAGGATGATTTTTTATTGATTTTGAGAGAAAGAAGAAGGGAGAGAGAGAGAGAGAGAGAGAGAGAGAGATACTATGAATAAACTAGAGTTCTTTACCTTGGTCTTTTGTCTTTGCTGCTGTGGTATCATCTTGTTTTATAACTTGTGACATTTCTGCAGAAAAGAGAGGGAAGAAGAATGAAATCCCACACACTTAGAGGTGAATTAACAAGGTCAGACCCACAGTATCCCCGAGATTGGGTCTGCAACGCCAGATTTCACCTTCTGACCCATCCAAAATCACGACTCAGCTGGAGAGGCACAGTGGACAGATAATGAGCCTTAGGGTCAAGCTCAGAGGGTATGGGTTTTGGTCTCATTTCTGCTTTTTATTCTTTGGAGACCTTTGTGTAAGCTGTTAAAATGAGAAGTCATACCCAGTGAGGGACATCAATGTGAGAGACATACATCGATTGGTTGCATGAGCCCCAACTTGGGCCAGGGATCAAACCTGCAACCGAGAAATGTGCCCTTGACTGGGAAGCAAACCCAAGACCCTTTGGTGCCAGGGTTGAGGCTCTAACCACCAAGAAACACTGGCCAGGGCATGGGTTCTTTCCCTTTTTCCCCTCTTTTGCTCAATCCCTCCACGCCTCCAGCACCATCCCCACCTGAGCTATTGGCCTGCTCTTTATCTATGAATCTGTCCAGATGGAAATTTTTAAAAATATACATTTCTTTATTGATTTCAGAGAGGAAGGGTAATGGAGAGAGAGATAGAAACATCAATGATGAGAATCATTGATCAGCTGCCTTCTGCACACCCTCTACTGGGGATTGAGCCCACAATCTGGGCATGTGCCCTGACCGGGAATTGAACCGTGACCTCCTGGTTCATAGGTTGACACTCAACCAGTGAGCCACACCGGCTGGGCGATAGACAGTTAGAAACATCGATGAGAGAGAAACATCGATCAGCTGCCTCCTGCACATCTACTGGGGATGTGCCCACAACCCAGGTACATGCCCTTGACCGGAATCGAACCTGGGACCCTTCAGTCCCCAGGCAAACGCTCTATCCACTGATCCAAACCAGTTAGGGCCAGTATGAGCTTTTAATAAGAGTAAGAACTGAGCCGTGGCCAGTGTCCTCAGTAAGTAGAGCATCAATGAAATGAACCAGGAGGTCATGGTTCAGTTCCCAGTCAAGGGCACATGCCCAGGTTGTGGACTTGATCCCCAGTAGGGAGTGTGCAGGAGGCAGCCAGTCAATTATTATTCTCTTTCATCATTGATGTTTCTCCCCCCACCCCCACCCCTAAAATAAAAAAGAAAAGAAAAAAGACCTACTTCAGAGGTAGGTCTCATATGATTTTCTGATGAAGTAGGTAGAAGGTAGAGAAAAGAGTCAATCAATCAGAAATAAACATCTCTCTCTATAAAAGCCTAATATGCTAAGTGTCTGACCGACTGGTCAACTCACCAGTCACTATGACATGCACTGACCACTAGGGGGCAGATGCTCCAACTGGTAGGTTAGCTTGCTGCTGGGGTCCGGCCTATCAGGACTTGGTGAGATGGGGCCAGACACACCCTACAGCCCTTCTGCGGTTCCTCCCTGGTGACCAGCCCCAATTGGGACTGGGTGAGATGGCCTTGATTGGCCCTGATTGCTTGCCAGGCAGAGGGACCCCACCTGTGTACGAATTTTGTGCATCGGGCTTCCAGTACTAAAAATAATGACCAGGCTTCTGGTGTGAGCAGTGCAGAGGATGGCAGGGCCATAGACTGAGATAGGAAACCCTTGACCCAACACCCCGCACTGACCTGAAGGCTGGCCCATGCTTGTTCCTTGGTCAGTCTTCGTGGGTGTAAAATCTTGTAGTATTTCAGCCAGTGAACATTCTGCAACACAGAGCACATGACAGAACAGTGGCTATAACGTCACAGCTATGGCCCTGGCCAGTGATTCAGTTGGGGTTAGAGCATCATCCCGATACGCTGATTGTTTGTGGGTTTGATCCCCAGTCAGGGCACATACAAGAGTCCACCACTGAGTGCAATAAGTGGAACAACAAATCTCTCTCTCAAATTAAGAAAAATTTTTTAAGTGCATTCTCTGCCCAAATGACTGAGGGGAACCAAGATGAGCCAGTTTACCCCATGACTAGCCTGTAATGGGGTCAGTGGAGTTGGAGCCTCAAGTGCCACCATCACCGAGAAACAACAGAGATTTATGTGAAGGGTTCTGTGATTTTTAAAAAAATGTTTTTATTGATTTTAGAGAGAGACATCAATGATGAGAGAGAATCATGGATCAGCTGCCTCCTGGAATCCCCCACCTATGTAACACTTTCAATAATAAAGATTTTCTTTTTAAATGTGCAAGAGGGGAAACTATCCTGTGGCCTCAGTCTTTTGTTGTTAATCCTCACACAAGGATTTTTTCCATTGGTTTTTAGAGAGAGCAGAAGGGAGAGAGGAAGGGAAAGGGAGAGAGAGAGGGGGGAACATCAATGATGAGAGAGAATCATGGATCAGCTGTCTTCTGCTCGCCCCCTACTGGGGATGGAGCCCACACCCCGGGCATGTGCCCTGACTGGGAATCAAACCATGACCTCCTGGTTCATAGGTGGATGCTCAGCCCCAGAGCCACACTGGCTGGGCTCCTTTTTCTTCTTTTTTTTTTTTTCGCTCGGGTGCATAGTATTCCATTGTGTAGTTGTACCACAGTTTTCTAATCCACTCATCTGTTGATGGGCACTTAGACTGTTTCAAATCTTAGCTACTATAAATTGTGCTGCTATGAACATAGGAATGCATATATCCTTTTTGATTGGTGTTTCTGT